GCCGCCTGCGGCCATGCCAGTCGGGGGGCCGTGCACTGACGGTCACTGCAGCCAGCCGGCGTTTCTCCAGGTGGCCCGCCAGCTCACGGCTGCATCTCAGGCGCACAGCAGCAGTGGCTCGCGACTCCGGCATGGCGCTCGTGTGGAGGCACCCAACGCCAAAGCCCACCCCGCTTCCTCGGGAAAGTTCTTTGTTTCGACTTCAAACGGTTACAGAAACTACCAAGAAACGTAAAATATCAGAAAAAAGGAAAAAAGAATCACCCATGGCCTAACCTCATCTCACACCGAAATAAGTGACGAATGTAAATGTGAAAGGCAAAAACGCAGAAGTGTTAAAAGGAAAAACAGGACAGTTTTTTTTTCTTTAAAACGTTTTTCTTCCAAGATTTTTTTTAATTGAGGTGCTCCCCGCGAGTACCCACCTGGCACTACACACAGCCACTATACTATTGTTGACCGTGCACCCCATGCTGTGCCCTGAGATTGTGTTCTAGCTACTAATTTGTACTTCTTCATCCCTTCACCAAAAAGGACAACTTTTAAAATAGTTTCAAAGTGGTGAAAGGTTTTCTTATAAGATACAAAACCTAGATATAAAAGACGATAAACTTGCCTTAGAAAAAAATAAAAACCTTCTGTGCAGAGGGAAAAACCCTCATACACAATTCTTTGTAAAGAGACCTGGGCGGACCGTACACCACACAGGAAGGCAACAGCTCGCTTCCTGATGTGACACAAAGGGCCCCCAAGGACCCACGTGACGGCCCAGAGGCCCACGGGAAACTCAGGCCAGGCTGCGGCCGACTCACCTTCACCAGCGCTGTCTGTGGAAAGCCGCGCGATGCGGCGAGGGTGGTCTGTCCTCAGCCCAGCACGCACAGCCCTTCGAGCCAGGCACCCCCTCCAGCAGCCAACTGCGCAGAGCACAGCCACGTGCAGCCACGTGCAGGGCGGTCTGGAATGCGGGGTGCTGGGCCAGGCAGGGTCCGGGTGGGGGTCCCCAGGTGAGCTCGCCTCCTGACCCGAGAGCCCGACACTGTCAGGAATGGCTCGTGGCGTCCACCCCCTCCCTCAGTAAATACTCGAGGCCCTCCAGGAACCAGCCTGGGGACAAGGACCCAGTCCCGACTGGGAGGAGCAGGCACACTCCTCCGTCACCTGGGCCGTCACCTGTCCTGGGACACCGAGCCGGGAAACACTGAGCAAGAGTCGGCGCGGAAGGTGTGCGGGAACCCCGGCAGCACGGGGGTGCAAGGGCGGAGGGCAGCTGGAGGGACAGGAAGCCTCGGATGCTGAGCCAGCAGCCAGGGGGTCGGCTCTGTTAGAAAGACCTCTGGGTGGTGTGGTGGGGGCTCTGCCAGGGCAGGAGACGGCTGAGACAGCGGGCGAGAGGTTTCCGAGTGGAACCCTCGGCGGCCAAGGGCACGGTGGGCTCATAACAGGCTTGGGGCAGTTGTGGGCTGCAGCTGGTGCCTGACCGGGAGACTCTGAGGCACAATTCACCTGTGGAAGGCTCAGACCCCAGCAGCAGCAGGGGAAGGCCACCAGGGCACCCTGAGGTCCCTTTAGTCCCTGCCCCCATGGACAGCCACCGTCCCAACTCCTAGCACCACAGAGCCGTGTCCAGCCTCTGAACTCCCTGCAGACAGCCCCAGGGGTCTGGCCCTCGCTCGGCAGGTCTGTGAGGCCCACTCCATGGTGACACCATCACTCGGTCCCTCTCAGCAGGTGTCTGTCCCAGTGGGCCTGCCACGCAGGGAGCTCAGGGCTGGGCCCAGGCGTGGGGTTATGGTGAAGCCCAGGTTGCACAGGGGACCCAGGAAGAGGAGGGACCCAGGCAAGGCGACGTGAGCCTGCCTGAGCCTGAGGGCCGGCACCCAAGCAGCAGCGGGGACGGCAAAGCTCAGGGGAGAGGCTGCCCCGGCAACAGTGCCAGGTGCACTGGCTATGGGACACCGGGACCTGCTGGGCCCCTGGGGAGCATCCCGAGGGCTGGCGGGTAGGGGCAGAAGGAGAAGCAGCAAACGTGAAGGCTCAGAAGGAGGGTCAGGGTGGAGGAGCCCACAGAGAAAACAGCGGGGCACCCAACAGGGACCTCTGGGGCGCCGGGTCTGAGGCTTTTCCCCTCCCCCTCCCCCCACAGGGCCGTACCTGCACTGTGCCCCCAGGCCATCTGTCCCAACCAGCCTCCTGCCCTGGGTGGAGGTCAGGACGCTGCCCTGGCACAGCGCCCCCTCCACGTCCCCAAGGCCTTTCTCGCCTCCGAGCGGCTCAGAAATGAGCACTGGCCAGAAACGCCAGGGGCAGACACGAGGGCACACGACGTCCACTTCCCTAAGGCACACGTTGGTGGGACTGCTGGCCACTCACAAAACACCACTTCCTCCGTCCCCAATCGCCGGCGTGCCCATTGCCACAGCAGCACGCTGGGCGCAGGCAGCCCAGGGGCTTTGGACCAGGGCCGCCCCAGACATCCGGCCAGAGGCTGCGCCCACAGTCTCTTCTTAAGCGCGCAGCGAGGGGAGCTCTCGGCCCCCAGCAGGCAGGGAGACAGCAGAACTGCCCACGGGGGCCTCCAGGTCGTGGACAAGGAGCCTGCGCCAGCAGCCGCTGCGTGTCTCCTTTCCCTTGGACCTGGTCCGTGACCGCGGCACGCGGCCAGGCCCCCGGAGCCGGCCTTGCTGCCCCACACCTGCTGTGGACGCTTCTGCCATAGAGACACCAGGCAAGTGTCCCGGGAGGTGGGAGGCACGTACAGAGCACCCGCGGCCACCCTAGCTCGTGCCCTAGGCAGCCTGGCGAGGGCCCGCAGACCGCCTGCTGGGCTAGCCCACGAGTCCGAGGCGGGCCAAGCACATGTTGCTCGGGGCTCTCAGTTCAAGGTGGTTAAAAGCAAGTGTCACTGCCACAGAAGCTCCGGAAGCAAGCATGCTACCACATCGTCCTGGGAGGCGGCCAGGCGCCGGTCAGCAGGGCAGCTGGGGCGGCAGCAGCTGTCACAGGCAGGAAAAGGGACCCTGGCTGTGCGGGGAAGAACCACCAGCCCGAGTGTAAGCCAGGGCTACAGAGAAGGGGAAAGCCCGGGGAGCTAGGGCTTCCTCAGCACTCAGGCAGAAAGCAGAAGGTGTCCACTGGCTTGGCGAGGGGCAGGCGCTGACGGGCGAGGAGAGGGAGACCGCCACCCCGTGGTGTGCAGAGCTATAGGGAGCATGGGGGTCAAACTGGTCTGTGCCTAGTCCCTCCGGGCAAAAGATTTTCAAGATAAGAAACGGCCTCAGGATAAAAACCAAATCAAGATCCTCAGGTTTCAGGCCAGCCTGGCCAACGCACTGAGCCCCCAGGGTGCAGCCCTGTAGCAGCCTGTGCCCGGAGCAGAGAGGGGCCCCCCAAAGCGCTGTGATGACAAAGGTGCAGGTTGCTAACCAAGGCATCTCATCTGAGTGACTGGAGGGGAGCGGTGGGGGCGGCAAAGGCTCTGGCCCAATGTTCCATGAGCCTTGGAGCTTTCTGCGTCTGCGCCGTGTCTAACAAGCTCTAAAGAAAGAAGCGCTCGCACGTCACGTGCACACAGGACGACCGGAAGGGTCTCTGCGCAGGGATCAGCTGTAATAGCTTCTGCGTACTAGGGATACAGTCTGCTTTAGTTTCTAATCTTCCATCACTTACATTCTGTAATAACAGATCCTCCTTTTCAACTTTAAAAAACCTACTGTAAACTTTCCAGCAAAATGGCAAATTAAGTGTGGGATGATGTGACAACTGACCCAATGGATGCCCCAAGCCCCTGAACCCAGAGACCTGGGGGCACCAGGTGCCTCTGGAACAGGTGTGAGAGGGGTCAGAAGACTTGGCTGAAAGCTGGGAGTGAGCAGCTCCCCCCAGATGCCCCGCCCTGCTCATGCAGTCCCTGTCCCCAGCCCCGCCCCACAGAGGAAAAGCTGCCCTGCCCACAGGACCCCGAGCACAGCTGCAGCAGGCAGTGTCCTCACGGGGAGGGGCACAGACAGCCCAAGCCTGCTGGACAACGAGACACGTCCTGCCCAGGCCCAGCTCCCAAGACACCAACAGCAGGAGCTTGCCCTCCGGGAAAGGGTGGGAGCCAGGCTGTGGGCTGAACTGGCCCCAGTACACCGAAGCCCGGATCCCCAGTGTGACTGCACCTGCAGATGGGGTCGCTAGCAGAGCAGGGTGAAATGAGGTCATGAGGACAGGCCCCGCTCCGGCAAGACTGTGGCCTTAAAAGACGAGGATGAGAGCTCGCTCTCCCCGCCAAGTGAGGACCCGGAGGGGTGGTGGCCCCTGCCAGCCCAGAAGTGCTCACTAGGACCCACCCTGGCAGACCCTGGCCCCGACTCCAGCCAGAACTGTGAGAAATCAAGTATGTCCAGTGAAAGCCGCCCGCCTGTGGCACGCTACGGCAGCCCACGTCAACAAGACAGGTGTCTTCCGGGGTCTGGCCGGCCCAGACAGACCCCGTGACACTGACAGGGCTGAGTCGGTCTCCCCGCAGGGACCCCCACCCTGCCGGCCGGGCCCACGGGGCCGGAGTGCCTCACGGCAGCGGCAGCATGGGGGCCCCTCGCAGCGCCCAGGGCAGCAGGTGGGCGCAGTCCGTGCATGGCAGGCCAGCCCCAGCCCACGGGCGTCAGAGGGCACTGCGGAGCATGTGGGCGGGGGACGCTGGTGTCAGTGTCTGGAACCCTGGCCACAGAGGCACACATACGAGGCTCAGAGAAGAACCGAGGTAGGAAAATCCAATTAGAAGGTGCTGCGTGTCCCCAGCTCGGTCACGTGCCGTCAGTGAAGCAGGTGACGAAACCAGAAACTGAACAAAGAGCCCACATCCTGCACGCTGCCTGCAGGCGGGCGGGTAGAGCACGGCCCAGAACAGAGCATGGCACGGTAGTGAGGACAAGTCCCCAGGCCGGGCACGCCACATGGCAGCTGCCAGCAGGCTGTGCAAAGCACTGAGAACCCAGGGTCCTGTGGGCCAGGCCCTGGTCAAGCACCTTCCTCCAAAGTCCTATCGAGACAGGGAAAAGGCCGCAGCTCAGCTCTGCAGAGGCGACAAGCGGAGGTCATTCTGAACAGGCCACCCAGATGACTGAGCAAAGACACCGGGCAGGGAGGCGTGCCCCAGCCACCGCCCCCCCGGGGAGTCCTTCCTGAGAGCACAGAGGCGGCAGGCAGTGCAGGGCGGGGCCACTCTGCCACCACACAGCAGGCCCGTCTATGGAGATGGCAAGAGGGGGCCAGCAGTGAGCTCGAGTGCCAGCTGCCAACTGAGAGTCTACTTGGCCGTCCCCACGAGCCGTGTCGCATCACTGGCTCTTCGACTCCATGTGAAAACACAGTCCCAACCGTCTGTGCCCACATCTGACCAGAAGAGAAACCACCAGGTACTTCCGGCAGCGGACTGCGGTGACGCGGGGACAAGGGCAGACGAGCCTTTGCTGCGATGCCCCACCTGCTCCACCCGCTCCCTGGAGTCCGCGTGCAGGAAGGGTAACCGAGACGCGCCTGAAGCCCCCACGCGGCCCGCCGCCTGCCAGGCCCGGCCCCGAGGGCAGAGCCCGCCCTCACCCGTGAGCAGCCAGGTTGGTGGTCACCAGCACCGTCTTCACCTCCTCCACACCGCTGCCGTCCACCGCGGTGTCAGGCGTCGTCACCACCACCACCTCCTCCATGTGCACACTCACGTCCGGGGTCGCCATGCTTCAGCGGAAGAGGACGCCCAGGACGGAGAGCGTGCCTCCACACA